GTTCAATGTGTACACAACTGCAAAACGCCGCCTTTTGAAGGATAGCCCATCTGCCGAATTTTGCTCATCGCGGGGAATATCTGCCTGCCCTGCTCACACAGCACCTGCAGGGGTATCGTTGCTTTTATTCACAATGGAGTTTTCTACGGGGGTTGATTCCCCATTCTGTTAAACCATCGTTCTTTTCAAAAACCAGATCTGTTTCCCCTGGGCTTCTCATGGTTTTCTGAAAAGAAGGATCCCTGGAAAGAATAAGAAGTGTCCCCCAGAAAGGCGCCAAAAGACTTTTGCTTGGCACTTTGAGCCGCACAAAACGCCCCAAGGCTCGGATGGCAGCCACGTGTACCCACCCCCCCAGGCTGGCCAAATCTCACATGCGTGGCGCGCAAAAGTCGATGTCCTACCATACCGACTGGTATTAGAACCAGTGGCCAATGGGTTTTGGGCGCTCAAACGCTTACATGGGCCCACGCTTTGACAACTTTCTTCTGGCATGCCTGCAGCATGACCCGCAAATCCTCTAGCTCCGACTGCGGACATCGCACAGCCTGTGCCGGCGGAGATTGGAAGAAGACGCGGAGAGCTCACAGAATGGATGAAATGGCCTTGCGTATAGTTATTCGCCGGGTTGTCAAACCATGGAACCTTTGTAGGCCCCTGGTGACATTTAGCCAGTACAAGGGTCTAATCCATGCTTTAACTACCTGATTTGGGCCAAGATCAAGAAGCTCCACTCCGAGAGTACGGGTTTTCGCATTGACGAGGACCTTCGCACCGCAAGCAGCATCTCCACACGTCTTGCAATCATCCGGCGGCTCATTGCCGGCATAGGCCTCTTGATTCACGAGGGTCAGAGTGCTGATCCCGGCCGCCGGGTTTCATGTTTGCACCCCAACCAAAAAGGGTTCCGCTGAAAGCAACCGCTGGCATGAAGCTTGTGGTTTTGCTCAGGACAGCCCAAGGGCAGCCTCGGCTGATCCATCCGGACAATTTAGTTCAGCTCCCAAAGGCATTCATGATTTTGCTAAGGCCGCCACCCTTTTGGTTTGGAAGGGAAAGCAAAACTCCCCGCAATTTTCCCTGGAGGTGGTCTTTCCACCACGTTCATTATGTGGCAAAATAGGTGGACCCCCAAATGGCGATGCTCCTTTGCCAGATGCATAATAGCCAACCTGAAAAGGGTGCACCGTCAACAAGACACACCGATCTCCTTCAGGCGCCACAGGTTACCCACCGCTAGCCAGCCCCCCCCCCCCCCCCTTGCCCCCCCCCGGCCAGCGACAGGGGCACCGTGGGGGGTGCATCCTCCCAGGGCTGCGGAACCAAAGGCGCGGTGGCCATGGTCGCCGCCATGTCAATTGACTCAACGGGCGTGTCGGATCTTAGGGTACCCGTTTTGTGGTTGAGGGTTTAGGGAGGGTTCAAGGAGGGTTCAGGGAGGGTTCAAGGAGGGTTTGGGGAGGGTTTGGGGAGGGTTTGGGGAGGGTTTGGGGTGGGTTTAGGGTGGGTTTAGGGTGGGTTTAGGGTGGGTTTAGGGTCTGGGCTTACTTTCAAGGGAGCCAAATGGGCTCCCCGGCTTAAAGAACCCAAGCGGCTGGAAGGGATTCGCACACAGAAAATATGCCGGATACAAACATTCAACGCCATGCTGAGACTAACAAGCTGCAACAAGATAGTAGGATGACACAAAAGTGTAGATTGTTCGCACTTGCTTCTCTTGCAATAGAAGCTGCAGACACATACCAACCAAGCTTGAAAGCAACGCAGAGCATGTGCCGAGCAAGAATGTAAATGTGAAACAGTTGTTGCGTTCGATTGCATGCTAAGTAAATCAAGTAAGCAGCATGTATTTGCTCCTCCATTGAACATTCGTTGCTGGCTTCGTCTTCTCTGGCTGTCTCTCTCTGCCTGCAAACGTGCTGTGTGTGCGTGACGGTTTTGTGAAGCAACGCTCGCCCTGTGGTTCCTACTTGTCATGCTTGCATGCAATCAATATATTGTCAAGCCCAAAGGCCGGCAAGGGGCGGCAGACTCCACGCCCTGAACCATCATGTTGCACAACCTGATCATGATGCCCAAGGCCAAGCACCAAACTTCCCATCCAACATGCAATCTGAGGAAACGCACCGCCCATGATGCCCAAGTGAAGGGCTTCTGTTAGCTTCCATGTTCGTGGAAGGAAGAGTGCATCTTGTCACCCTGCTCGGTCACCTGAAATTGTGGGCAAGTTGTTGATTTGCAAATGTCTGATGATGTTTGAGACATTACATGGAAAGCGCGACGCTGGGCAAAGGCATCCAGCGGCTGTCCATAACACTTCTGACTTGGACAATTGAGTAGCAACTCGCTGATTCATCGTTATCGCCAGGGGTTCTCAGAGGCCAACACAAACAAAGCCAACTGTTGATGTTTTTCCGGATGTACGGCGGGCCAAAAAGGTCCATCACCTTGCGGTTTCATGCGGAAACCCCATTTGGATGTCTTTTACTGAGGTTGCCCCGTTGCCCCTTTTTCTGGATTTAAAGCTTGAGGGAAACCAGGAGAACACCCACCACTTTGGTCGTTCCACCACAAAAAAACACCCATTAATTTTGCTCCCTTCAGCTCGTTTTGGGAAGACCGCAGTCCGCCCTTTGGCGCGAAACGCTTCGCGGGAAGGCACCGGCTCTCGCTTCCGGCCATGCAAGCAGAAGCCCCCCGCGTCGAAGCAGACCTTAAAAACGGCCTGCTTTGGCCCCGGGTCGAAGAGTCGAAACCCAAAGGGCTGACTTCGTTCGCCCGAACGGCTCAAACGGGCGAAGAACCCAGTTGATCTTTGTTGAAACAATGGCGTTTGTGCATTGTGTTCATTATCTGCTTCATAAATGGTTGGAATCGGGTTCGTAGTTGACCTGTTCCGGTGTCCTTTGCGCCCTTGACCCGTCAAGGGTTGCCATGTGGCCGATCGAAGACACCGGTTGAAGTCGTTTCGTTACTTTCAACCTGCGGTTGGCCATGCGGAGAAAGGACTTGCTCAAGGATTTCTTTGTTGCACCTTTTCAAATTAGGCCGACTGGGGCCCCCAAAAAAGGTTACTGCCATCGCACGCAGCAACTCCCTGAAAAAGTACTACAAAGTCCTTAAGCACATGCTCAGCGTGTGTGGATTGTCTTCCTCGGTTTTTCACCCATGCCGGAAGTTACTTTGAGATGCCCTTCCAGAGATGGACCCTGCGAGCAATTGAGACACCTTTCCGTCAAGTGTAACCTCATGCGATCGACTGAGGCGTCCTTGATGAGAGAGCTCCATGGGAAGTGGACGATGCATCAAAAACGGCCCCGGCTATTCTTGAAGAGATCTGCTGGTTATATTCCGAATCCGTAGTATGTATGTGTGTGTGAGCCTAGGAACCCCTCTGCCCGATTGGCTTAATGGGCGGTTCTCCTTCAAACAAGGTCCCAATCAACCTTGGTAGTTTTTGGCACCTTGCCGGTGGCCGCCAGATTGAATCGAGCCTTCCATTGCCCTACCAATTGGCAGTGAAGCAATGAGCTAAAAATTTCGTGCCCCCAACTGACATGGGGATTGACCAACAACAAGCCGACATCCGCATCTAGGCAATTCGATGTTTGTTCTCAACACACATGCCATCCCTTCAACTCGGATCAAGAATGGCGGTGCTATTCGGAGGGGCTCCCCAAATGGATGAAGTTCAGCTTGCAGGACCGGGGAACAAAACGAACAAACACAACAAACATAAGAACATCTCGGAAGGCATAAAATCAAATTGGTGGACACCAAATAGCACCAACAATCATGCTGAGTCACCAATAGGTGCTTACCCTTCCACTTTAATCAGGTGCGGACCTGGGTGCAAAGCTGCAAACACCTATGTCAATCCCCACATCTTTGAAAACACTTCAAAGAACCATCAGTGACTGAGCCTTCAAGAAATTAGACGCAACAACCCAAATTTTAGCTCTGAGTTCTTGTTCAGGACTCCGCACCAATTCCCTTGAGAAACCCGGAAGCTAACCTGCTGACATCTGGTTGTGGCTCAAAACCAATGGAATCCCATTTTGGGGTAGGTGAATTCACCACCCATTTTGGAACCTATTTTAGTGGTTGGATTGGGATGTTCGCTGGGGGGTACGATTTGGATTTTGACCCATGGCCATATGGGTGTGGGTCAAAATTAAACCAGCAGGAGACCGCAGGTTGTAGTCCAAGTTTCCATTTACAAGGGTTCCATTTTGGGTACAGGCCATCTCTTCTCCGAGCGCCCGCACACTCTCCGAGCCCTCCGTGCCCAGGAAGAGGTTCGAGTCACTGGTGGCCACACCCTCGAGCACACGGAAGTCGGGGACCATGAACTTCCATTTGCTGAGAAGCCCCCCAGGAAGACATAAATAATACTTCCAGTAGTGATAGATTCCCTTGAAAACCAAAAAGGGGAAAAACTAACATATGCTTAAGCAAATGGAAGTTAAAGGTGAAGAATCTGCCGAAGGGTCCTTTGCTTCCCTGCAACCGGAATTCACCCTGGGTCGGGGAGCAGAAACCTGGACAACAGGATCTGCCTTCCTTTTGACCAGTTTGCTTTGTAGAAATGTCAGGGACCCCCAGTGCGTGCAAACACCCTCCTTAAGTCGGTAAGGGGTGCTTTCTTTGCCCACAAAACGGGCAAAAGGTTCACTCAGGGGTAGAAAGCACGATGCCCTGGTAACCCTACAATGCCTTGGACCCTTCCAATGCCCTTCGGGAGTTAAACGCCCTGCTCAGACCCTGCAAGCGCGCCATCATGAGCCCCAAGAACCCCACAACCCAGGAAGTCTGGCAACCGTGGAACAAATATCCATCCCCTTGCGGGGTTCCTTTTGCCCAAATCCTAAACGTAGAATGAATATGGGTGTGTCTTTTGTGGGGGACCGCCCAAAAATTACTAAGTAAATACATAAGTAAAGACAAATATATTCGTACGTTCGTATATGGTGCGGAGTCGCATCTGGACACCTAAATGGGCCAAAAAGGATTTTATACTACCGCAAGGGTTGTTTCCGGCCCGGCCAACCAATTCTCCTACTTACATGGTCGGGCTGGAAGGCTGGAGGGATTGAAGCTGGAGGGCGGGAGGTTGTAAAGGCTGGAGGGTTGGAAGGTTTAAGTTTCACTCATTGTGTTGAGGGGGAAGGGGTCTGATCCGGCCAAAAACATTCATGCTACTTCCAGAGCTCGTGAGGGTGGCACGGCCAGCGACTGACAAAACATGCGATTGAAACAAACGTTTACACCTTTACACCTCCCAGACCTGAAGCCCCTGGCCCCCACCAGAGAGGAACTGGCGATGTTGAGGACGCAGGAAGCCAAGACCAAACACCAACTGGGAAAGCAGAGGATGCGAAAAGCCAAAGCCAGAAAGCCGCCACAAGCGACAAAGCCAAAGAGCCACCTGCCGGAAAGGAACTGGTAATGCAGCGGATGCGAAAAGCCAAAGCCGCAAAAGCCAAGCAGAGAGGAACTGTGAATGCAGAGGATGCGAAACGAAAAGCCACAAAAGCCACATAAACCCGCGTAAAAGCCACACCAGCCAAAAAGCCGAAAAGCCACCCGCCCTGAAAAAGAATCCTTTAAAGAAACGAAACAAATCCTAAAATAAGTGTGCCTCCGTCGATAAATCCGCAACTCAGGTTTGTGGTGGCTCAGAATGCGATGCTGTGACGCAGACAAGTGTTGCCCTGCGCCCAAGCTGGAGGGTGAACGAAGCCTGACGCCTGCCCGCTGCGTGCCGGGTTTGGGAATGCGCAAAATGACTTAGCCCAGCCCATGTCCTCCCTGCAAACCGTAAAACAATCATATTGTCAGTTGCTATCGGCCAGTCTCAAATGAGAAAGACGAGCCGTGACTAGCTGTTTCTGGCCAAGTCCAAGACCTTGCAAACAGCCCCTCCGGGATGACTTTGTAGAAAAGCAATTTCTGGGGAGCGTCGAAAGGCGTCCACTCATGGCAAAACATGATAAAGCCATTCATACTTCAAGTGGGACATGCAAACTTCCTTGCAATGGTCGGGGCTGGTGCGTGCGAAGTGCCTGACTCCACGCGCGCACAAGGTCTGCTAAGGGCACCAGTGTGTATGCCTAGCTCCAAAGTTGCTTTATTAGCTTCCGGCGCACAGGTGACCTGGGTAGGGGCCCTGCAACTAGTGCTTTCCAACCCCATGAATGTGTGTTCATACGGCCGAATTCAGAGCCAGAGCAGCAGCGGCAGGACTCCGTCCGGCCGCTCCTTCAAACGCTGCAGCTGGCTCAAAAATGCGTCAGCGGCGCATGCCCGCAGCTCCGCGACCTGTGCCAGAAACTGGGGATGCGAGCGTCGGCGAAACCCATCTCGGCAAATCAGCTTCCAAATGAAATGGGGAAGGTGGAAAACCTGAACGTCCTCTCGAACATGCGACAAGAGTGGTGCGTGCCACTTGCTGGCCTGCGGCGACGGCAGCTTCAAGACGCCGCGCCGGAGGCGGGCCTTGAGCTGTTCGAAGCCCTGCCTGCGAATGCCAGGGGCCAAGGCCGAAGCCAAGAGCCCAAGCCCAGCTTTTGGCAAAAGTTTGACCAACAAAAAGGGAAAGTGTGGCAAGGTGACTTGCTTCAGAAAAACACGGAGCTGGCCAAAAAGAGGTGTCACTGCGCTGCGTGAGGCAGGCCTCGGCGTGTTGCCCGCCTCAGCCAAAGTGGCGCTCTTCGCGGCGGCGCAGCATTCGGCACCATGCCGTGACATGCCGACATTGAAAGAACACGGGCAGCTAGCATCGGCTCAAACAAGTTTGTGCTTTCGGTGGGGTGGGCAAACGTAAGGTTTGCCGTTTTGGGCTTCTCACATGTTCATCATCTTCATGAGCGCTGCGCAAACTGCTGCCACCCGGATCACAAGAAACGCAACTTGTGCAAGTCTGAGTTTGCTATTTCATGAAGAGCAGTGCCTCAGACAGCCATCTTGAAAAGGCCAACTGCAGGCCAAACCGACACGATCCAGAACATTGACAAATGCGCCGAATGGCCTCGCTGCCTTCATATACGCCAGCAGCTTCTATCTTGAAGCCTGTCGTCTGACGCATCTTGGGCCGCTGCAATTGCCCTGTAAGCCTTACATGTGGAACGCTGGCTAATCTGCAGTATCTCCCTGGACCCTGATCATTTGTAGCGATTCTTTTCTGTCCAGAAGTTCCACTTTTGGTAGATTCCCAATTCCCCGCTTTCTGCGTGAACCCTTGGCCCACACTGACCCGGAATCCCAATGGCCCCCGCCTCCGCTCAGCCTCTCCATGGCGATCGCGCCACGCACCTTCTGCGCGACAAAGATGTGGCGCCCAGCCAGGGTGTCACCGATGTCCGCCGCGCCATCCAGGCGGGCAAGCGTCAGCCTGCGCGTGCGGAATTTAGGTGTCGGGTGCCTTGACTAACCAAACACACAGGGCAGGTTACTTAGACTGCATTGGTTTGTAGCAATGTTCGGATGGTTGCTTCGCATTCTTCCGCCATGGTGCCGTAAGACTACTTGCCAATCAACCTGCACTATCCGACGTCGAGACCCGCCTCCTGCCAATTTCTTAGGATTATGGATTAATCTGGCTGTCATCCATTTGCAACGCAGCTCCCAAACACCGCCAGTTTCAATCGGACATAAGCCAGCCCACATTCAACAAGCCAAGGTTCCGTCACAGTCACCGACAGCCCAGAAATGCATCTGCATCAAGCACTCAAAAGTGTAAGCCTTGTTGGATAAGAAATCTGCACCCTGGTCCTGGAATGCTGGGAAAGCATAGCAACAAGGGCGCAGGAGCAACCTGGAATGAGGGGCAACGCCCTAGACAGCAACGGAGGCATCCGGCCTGCAGCCCTCGATGGCCTCCGCACACGCACCTTGTGAGGCGCACGAAGGTGGGTGCCTGTCGCCAAGCTCGCAGGCAAGCTCCGGGGCTGCGAGGCGCTTCGCGGTCCTGACCGACCATCAAGCATCCCAAGTCATGGTTTCGAAGCTTGAAATCAATTTACGCACGCAGCACAAGCGCGATGTTTCTCTTGCTTCATCATGCTATGATTCTGACCCAAACGTGTGTCTGATCCGAAAGACCAAAGGTTCTCATGCATTCGTGCTCATCTGCAAAAGGAACCACGTGCGCCAAAGCCTCGCTGTCTTCGTCCGAAAAGACAATAGAGGTGGCATCATCCTCACAGCAAATGTCGAGCACTTCCCCGCCTGGCAATTTTTGCTTTGGCATCCGAAGCGAGGCGGTGTGAAGGCGTCAAGCCCAAAAGCGATTAGAAATATGCCCCCGCCAAGCGGCGGCGTAGCCAACTCACAGGTGAACCAGGCTGATGCCCAGCTCGAGAAACATGGCTCTGAAAATGAACTATTGTGCGCCTTGACGGCGCTTGAGAGCATCCCACTCAAAGAAAACAGCAGCTGCTTGACTCAAGCCTGACAGCTATCGAGGGCATCAGTTCAGCCTGATCAATCCGCAACGATGGCATCTCACTTGCAAGGAACCTCGTAAGCCGGTAAGCCGGTTTGGCCAAGGTTTACCGAAATTAATGAGCAAAAAAGTATGTCATCTTGCTGCTTCTCAGCTAAGAAATCAGACACTTCTCAATGAACCATGCCAAGTGAGAGGGGTCCCGAGGTTCACTCGTGAGTCTTTCTTCGGGTCTTTGGATTGTCCCGCCGCCCTGGCTGTCCTGCACTCTTCCTGGGTCTTTGGGTCCCGCCCCTGGCTGTTTCTCTTTCTTCGGGTCTTTGGGTTGTCCCGGTCCTTGGCTTTTTGATATCCAGGTTCACACATGGACGAAGCTTGACTGTGTCATGTCTGAATCGGGCAGTCGGAAGCAATTCATCTTTCATAAAGCTCATCATCACCGCGACCAATCTTTGGCTTGACTCGTAAAACTCCAAACTAAAAAGCAAAGTCAATACCTTTGTTTCCTTGGGAACCTCCTGGCCCGACACGACAGTAACATGGCTTCCTTTAAGCAAGTGGGCTCCTTCACAATTGGCAGAACGTGTATCTGTTGCATCCCTTTGGACCTTGTCCTTTCGACACTGTGCAACACTTCAGGACTAGGCAAGCATCCTTGGCACCACGCCAAAGCCGCTCGGTGCATTGGGTCATTGAAGCTGTCGTGTTGAAGGCCAGTCATGGCTCTTGTGTGTTTGCTTTGTCGCTTTCTACATGGCTCCAGCAGCGGTTTTTCACCTACCTCAAAGCCACCCAACCCGACACCCAAAACCAACCCCAGAGCGACCACCAACCTGGTTACCCCTGAACCCATCCAAAATCAATCCCGAAACAACCCCACACTCAAGCAAAACAAACACTAAGCCCTAAACCAACTCTGAAACAGCCAAACCCACCTTGAGCCCAACTCCTCCCTAAACTCGCTCTCCACGCTGAACTACATGAACTAACCTTAAACTCTCTCAAGTAATCCCCAACTTAGCCCAGAACCTTTGGAAGCCCAGACGGAAGACGCAGGTCTTTACTTCCCGTGACGACCCTAACAACCGGGATCGAACGTTGAAGTTGGGTCAGCAGCCAAAAAGTCAAGCCATTGCCACAAGCCACGCACGCCCTCCCTCAAGGGAGGAACATGGAAATTGTGGCTCCCCCAATCTGCTTTTGAACTGGGCTGGTTCCAAGCGACGTCTCGTTCATGCCAGCTCCCCTGTGCGGCTGCAAGAGCCACTCTACAAGGCAATGATTCAATAGCGGGGGGGTTGGGGGGGGGGGCGGCAGCCCCCCCAATGATGTTCGAAAAAGGGTGCGATAGAATACAAAAAGCAGCGGGAGGGTTGGCGGGGGTGGCTTCCCCTATGATGGTCGATCAAGTGCATACATACAAACATACATAGATTACACCGATTACATAAAATGTCGTATTTTTCAGCATTTTCTCGCGAAATTGGATGCTCGCAAAAAGTGATGATTCAAATAGGGGTGCAATTAAATCTCTGCAAGAAATCTAAAAAGTGGGGGGGGCGGTTGCCGCATGATGATCGAATGGGGGAAAACAATCGGGGGGGGGGGGGGGCTGGTTGTTGGTTGTTGGGTAGGGGTGCAAAGCGGGGTGGGGGGGCACCAGAGAGGAACTGGTGATGTTGAGGACGCAGGAAGCCAAGGCCAAAAACCAACTGGGAAAGCAGAGGATGCCAAAAGCCAAAGCCAGAAAGCCGCCAAAAACGATAAAGCCAAAGAGCCACCTGCCGGAAAGGAACTGGTAATGCAGCGGATGCGAAAAGCCAAAGCCGCAAAAGCCGCAAAAGCCAAGCAGAGAGGAACAGTGAATGCAGAGGATGAGAAATGACAAGCCACAAAAGCCACATAAACCCACGTAAAAGCCACAAGAGCCAAAAAGCCGAAAAGCCACCCACCCTGAAAAACACAAACAAATTCTAAAAACAAAACGAAAACAAATCCTAAAATAAATGGCCCTCCTATCTTAAATGTCGTCACCGTGGACTCCCTTCTGGAACCTTCCCTTAAAACAATCAAACAGAAACCAAGTGGTGACAGTGGTACCCCCCCCCCCCCCGAAAAACCAAAACAAATGACCAACCCACTCCACCCACCTCGGGCGACCACCCAGAAGCACCCCGCGACTCCATCCCCATGACCATCCCGGTCTTTTTTGAGGCCCCCGCCACGCGCAGCAGCTGCTTGGGCCTGGGGCCGGCCATCCGCCCCGCAGGCTCCCAGGGGTTCAGCGCCTCGAAGTCGAGTCGAACTCCGAAGACGGACCGAGCGAAAAACGAGACAAAACGAGGGAGGTGGGGGGGGGGGGGGAGCCGAGCAATGACTTTCCCTTTTGGTTCTTGGGATTGACCTTTTCAAGTTTTGTTGAATTAGACATTCTTTGGTGGTTTGATGGATGCTGCCTGGTGGATTTGGCTGGATCGGTGGACATTGCCTCTTGGTTTGGATTGGCCTAAGAGGGATGTTCTCCATTTAAATGCAAGGAACACGACTCATGATCGCCAAACAGTGCAGATTAACATGGAACCCAAAAGATGCTGTCGGGCAACATGCAACATTTGCTTGATTCCTCCCCTGCAGATGAAGATATAACCCCCACAAATGCCACAAATGTCCATTTTGGAGGAAATGTGGGGGCATCGGACCCCTTTCTGGGTTCCATGCCAATTTGCAGGGGAGTGCCCGCCAATCAAAACCACCAAAAGGGAAGCCACTCTAGGGACCCCGCAAACGATTTCTGCTGACCAACTCAAAAAGTCAGCTTTGACAAATGCCCACCCGGACCCGGATTCTGCATCACCCACTAAAACATGTTGTTCATAAGCCAAAGTCAAGGGCGCGTGACCCCATGCAGGGTTAAGGATGAGTCCACAGAGTGCTCCTCGGTCTCTCTTCCCCGCCTCCACCATCATCACTTCAAAGAGGTACCGACCCGCCTCGCTGAGTCGCTTCGGTTGTAAACATCAGGGACAGGGGACGCTCAAAATGGGTGGCTTGCCGGTGAGTTGACACACCCACACAGACACGTTCACAATCACAAACGCAAACAAGCACAGAAATTCAGAAACAACAATACACACAACTACGCAGTTATACACATACGCGCACACACACACACACACAGAGTGAAGAGTTTCTCGCTGAGCCCTCTGCATCCTGTTCAAGCCTCCTGAGCAAACCACGCAAGCGAGCTGGCCATGCGAGCTTGTGGCAGCCGTAATTTTGTTTGCCTTTGGGCTTTGGGGTCGTGTCAATGTGATTTGGCACAACCGTAAGTCTTACAAGGTCCAAACAAGATGCACAGCCCAGCTAAATCCCGTTCCGAGCATCCAGTCGTCCAGGGACCCCTTGAGAGCAAAAGGACCCGGGATTGCCCATATTTAAAGTGAGAACGCACTAAATACAGCAAAAAGGGTCCCACTGTGCCACTCGTGCAGCTGAACCCAAACAACCCATCCCGGCGTGGCTTCCAGAAAGGGGAAAAACAAATACGGTCGCTATTTAGCAGCCACTGAACCATTGGAACATCCATGGCTCAATGAAAGTGCCTCCATGCACCAAGACGTTGGCGCTGCTGATCCCATATCCACGCCACTTTGGGCTAGCTTTTGGAGTTGGAACTCCTTGAAACGAGGGAAAAGAAAACGAAACAGGGCCGGAAATGGACATGTCCCTTCTTTAAGTCGTTAGAGACAAATGGCCCCATTGCCATGAATCCAGCGGATTCATCGCTTCCTGGAGCACATCTTTTGCTCATGCCGTAAACATTGCGAAAATCAGGTGTGCTGGGCTTGCACCGCTACGCTCTCAACCTCTAGATCTTGCACTGGACAACAATGCCATGGGCATGGCATCGATGGTTCACCTGCAAGAAAGGCCATGCAAGGTTCTTGAAACACATCACCCAATTAGATACTGCTCCGGCAATGGGGCGGACCTTACTCGAGAATGCGAGAAGGGTCAAAGCTAAGGGTGCCATGTCATCACACTGTGCGCAATCCCGACCCAGCTTCATGCAACATCTCTGGGACAAGCTCTCAGTGCGCAGTGTGAATCCACTCGTAGAAGCCATAGCCCTCCGCTCTTGAATTCGCCTTGATGCCCACGTTTGCGCGAGCACCCGCCAGCAGATACTGGAAGCCTCCCTCACCAAGGGCCTGAGCAATGCGCAGACAAAGGCCATCCAGGGTTGCAGTGATGCTATGCATGCAGTGCTTCTAGCATGTCGCGCAACACACACAATCAGCAAACACCTCCAGCAAAAATGGCACAAAGCGACGCGCATTCCACTGCGCTTGCGGTTCTCTGGGGTCGCTGAACATTGATTCTGGAGTGCCCATAACGGCCACGCTGTGTTGGCCACCGTCTGATGATACTGTGAAGGGACACCGATGGGAAACTGCCCATGTTTGGATTCCCTCTAGAGACAAGCTGGCACCTTCCTAATGGAACTTGGAAGCATAGAAAGCCGGGGGGCTCTGTCAGGACACCTGGGCCCGCATGGGTATGGGGTGCTCCACACGTTGCGACCAGATTCTCAGAATCGGGTCTGAAATGGCGTCACTGACGGGCTTTCCGCTGTCAACAAATTGTACCATTCATCTGAGTGAATCAGAATTATCCGAGCCGGAAAAAAGCAAACCGAACCCCCTGAAATCGCAACCTCCCTGAAGAGGTTGCAATCAATTGCCCGGTGGAAGTGTTTAGGCACCGGAGCTTTCGAGCCTTTTCCTGAGCCATGAAAGGTCCATTCAAACCTCCAGTACACCGGTGTACAAAGGATGGTCCCAACTCAAACCTCATGCAGGCGGCCTGTAGCATTTGTTGGTCGTTTTCTCGCTATGTTCGGTGAATCCGAACGGCCGATTTCCAAGCCGACTTCAAGACCGCTCCTTTCCGAGGCCAAAGCCGTTACCAGCTTCCCTCCCACTGCCGGCAAGACCTCAGAATCCAAGGGACGGAATGCACCTCGAAGGGCTAGGGGTTCTCCCCTAGATAAGCCTGGGGTCAGCGCATGTTCCAACTCTTGCATACAGGGAGGACCCCATCACAAGTTCCATGCTTCGGCTTGAACCAGCCTTGAGGATTCGGTGTAACTTTGACCAGGCTGCAAACAGAGAAGGAGCTGGATGCACTCAGCAACCTCCCCGGTTGCACAAGGCCCGATTCTGTATTCTTGCATTTTCCATTCTCACCGCCCACAAAGAACCACAACACCAATGCAGCTGATTAAGCCAAGCACATTCATGGTGGTGTCCTCCGTCAAAAAGCTGAATTGCCCAGCCTCGGCACGTGGCATAAGGCCAAAACGGACGCAGGATATGGCTGATCGTCGTGAAAACTGCTCATTATCGCTTGATAATGTGTGCGCATGGTCAGGATAATATGTTGACCGAAAACCTCGCCAGCAAAATGGGGAGTGAACACCGGCTGTTCCGGAGACATGTGGGGTGTCCCAATTCGCAGTTTCAGGGTCCCGCTTTGAGAATCAGACACTGCAATTGCGTGCGTGTCGAAAGGTCGCACATTTCGCTTCATGAGCGGCGGTTGTTTCGTTGCACCACCACCTAAGCCTAAACCAGCAAACCGTCAAGCCATGAGTCAAGCGAATCACAGCAAGGGAGCCTAAGAAATGATCCTGTCCCCAACGGGATCGCGCTAAGCCGAGAAGCTGGGCTTACAGCATCTACTCTTGGAGTGTTGGAGTGATGTATGGTTTCCCATTTTAAAAACTGTGTACGAACTGTTCAGCCCCAATTGCCCAGTGACCCTCGTACAAAACAAAATTCGCATTTGGCTTTGGTAAAGAAATGGTGACACATCAAAGCACTACCCCATCAAGCCTTGCAATCATTCAATGGCTAATTAACATGATATGCACAACCAAACACTCAGATAATATTGCCGATCTTCCTTCAAAGGATATGAACAACCAATGTTGGCCCCCGACTCATCCATCAATCCTGCAGTCAATAATCCGGACAGCTTCCGATTCTGCCAATGAACTAAAGGACTGTCTGAAAGGTAAACCAACTACAAACAAGTAACTGGTCACAATCAATAGTCAATAGTTGTCTCCTGGGTTTTGCTATGTGTCTTAACGGAAACCCGAATTTCCCTATCAGCATAATTTCAACTTTGGGTTCATCCTGAGGCTCACACTAATCAGGTGTGGTTTCCCATCTTGCGGCGAATTCATTCAATTTCGGGGATGTCTCGGCCTAGCATGATCCGGATCAATTCAAAGTCAACATTATTGGGATCCAAGAAAACTACAGACACCCCACAAAGGCTCATATATCTATTGGTCTATTGAGTCACCTTTGGGCTACCTTAAGGTCCATTACTTGAGAGGCATCTAGGCCAATATCTAGGACTCGCACAACTAAGAAATCCCCGAGCACAAGGCCTTCATCATGGGTAAGTTCGTTTGGCCCCCGATCGGTGAGCTCGCTATTTGCCCAAAGCCGCCGGTGAGTGACGTATTGGATGCCCTGTTCAAAGGGTGCCCTATTTCCCCTGGTCATGGTGTGTGTGTGTGTGTGTTTTTGTTTAAGGGGACATGGTTGCTTTTGTTTTGGTGTCCAACCCAGAAAAGGAATTCCGAGCCACGTATGCCATGGAAAAACCATGACCCTGCAGCAAAGGGCCTGGGAGGGGGGGTGGCATCCGAGCAAACGCGCCTTCAGAAAGGCCTTGGCGGCAGCTGCATCCGTCTCCAGCTCCTGGTGGAAACTCCCATTTTCATCCGAGTGGATGAACCCAGGATCAGCATTAGCTCAGCTGCATCTGGAAAATGTTGTTTGCGAGAAAAGGGACACATGCCAGTGTCAAAGCTCACCTTGGAATCGAAAGTTCAAGGTGTGCGCACATCCCCTCGCCATTTCTTACCTTGCCCCTGATGGTCTGGTTTGGTGGTTTCGACCTTAGGGAAATCGTACCTTCCGAACGCTTCAAACGCGGCGGAGTTCAACCCCCCCCAGCCACCACTCCAAGCCACCAAGCAAAAAGCACTTTGTGTCGTCACAAAAGAATTCGATTTGTAACCTCCGGGAGCGCATCTGGCCAGGGTTTGCATGCCTTTGGTCTCCCTTTTGAAACCAACAGGGTGGTCCCAAAACACGTCTTCAGCTCCCATGGAACGGGCCCTCCTGCGTGTTCCGGATCCATCCTTGGCACCCCACTTTCTTCGAGTACCTTCCCCATTAAGATGCTTTCAATCAAACCAACATCCAGGGAACCGGCTTCAAAAGATGCCAGCATTTCACTCTGCATTGTGCATACTCGGTTGCTTTCTGCTCCCCCGCTGAAAGTTTAACTTTTAGTGATTAGTGGAAAACCCATTAGTTGGCAAACAGTTAAAGTCCTAACATCCCTTGGCAAAATTCATCTAAGCATATATTTTTCCTCCCAACTGGAAAAGGATCCATGTCACTCCAACAAGTCCCGGGCCAATGACCAATGCCACTCCAAAAGCCTCGCCCTTGGCAGCCTTGTGGAACCCTTGCCCACGCCAGAGCTCCGAACCACCCTGGGGCCGCGGTTTTTGGGGCCCATCGACCCCAAAGGCTTCCAGCTGGGGAACTATACTCCATGGAGTGCCAAAGAGTGAGCGGTTCAAAGGTTGACAAACCTCTGGAGTAGACGAGATTCGATAGCCGGCTGTAGCTGGATGGTCTCCAGCCATTTCTCAAGACAGCGTCCCTTGAAATGGTTGCTTTCCCTTTGGTGTCACTAAGAAACCAACCAAAAAGGTTGTCCACCGTTTGAGTCACATTGTTTAGCGGGCAGAAAAAATAAGAAAAAATAAAGGAAACCAATATGGAAGCAGACAAACCTGGAGGGGTCCCAAGATTTGGCACATGCTAACCATATTTAACACTTGCCCCTTTCAAGCGCCAACCCCAGGTCCCGCCCATGTTTTCTTGCTACACGCTTGCAGCCTTTTCGTCAGGCAACACGGGAATGTCACGCTTCTGGCGAGACAAACAAAGATCTGCCCCTTCTGAAGTTCTGAGGTTTGGGTTGCGATGAGCACGCAGAGCCGCAGAGCTCGATGTGGAATTGCCTGGCAAGCCTCGGACGCCTCACCTGAATCCGCCTTTGGAAGATCCGTGGCTTGCGCTTCTCCGGGCTGCGCAGCGCGCGTGGAGAGTCAGCCCCAAGGATCGCCAGCAGGTCGGTCTGTCAGAGTTTCCAGATCAGCATAGACTTTGCTCGAAACACGTGCTGCGCATCACCTGGAGTGGTTCTTATCCTTGCGGGCAGCGTACCTGGCCCGGCGTGCGAACTGCGAACAAGCTTGCCTGGGCTGTGGTCAATATTCCCTCTATGATGAAACAGACCGTGCTTTCCTTCAGAGCCAATGCACGCGACTCTACAAAACATCGGTCGCTCAAGCCGTCAGCCGGCCACTTGAGTCGAGGCGCGTGGCCATGGCGGGCACTGAGACTTGGGGCGCCAGTCGCAGAGGCGACGTCCAGGTCTTGGGCAGTGCCAGCGCAGTGAGGTGACCCCCGTAGACGCAACCTGGCGATTCGATGCCCGTTCGGAGCGTCAATTCCCTGTTCAAGCCTGGGTCTTGAGCCAACACCTGATGAGATTCCCTTCCCTGGTTGTTGAGGTGGTTTCCTGGGACACATCCTTCTTTGCCCAAAACCTGATCTCTTCCTTGGGACTTTAAGGCTGTTTTCTGGAACACGCAGGTCGCAAACGACCTTTCGCTATAACGTTCTAAGTTTGGGTGTGGTTTTTCAGCGAACCTGTATTTTATGCAGGGATTCCAAACTTGCAGGCAAACCAGTTGCATCTTTATTTGCAGCGGAGAACCTCCCGCAAACATGGGAAGCGTTTGTTTGTGGACGGGCAAATTGTTTTGCAAGCGGCAAAACACTTGGGAGTTGCTGGACCTGTGCTAGGTATAAATTATAGCCAATCTGCCTGCCAACCTGCCTGCCAACCTGCCTGCATCTAGGTAACGCCACCCACTGGTGAGCAAGCTCCTAATGGCATCATACCCAATGAATCCCAACGCTCAGCCCTTGGACGTCATAACGTGCAGCCCTGGATCAAGTCACCACCGACTACGAGCAGAAAGTGGGCAGAGCGGCAGAAATGACCCAACAGGAAGTGTTGACAGGGCTGCGGCAAGCCAGAGCATGTAGGCCTTGGCTCAACGAGTTGCAGGCTCGGTCGTGCTAAGCAAGCAGCAGACTGCGGCCTCCAGGCGAAAGACATGTTGTATTCTTTCCCAAACTAATTTGGGGAATAGCTCAACTGTTCCCTAGCGCATCGAAGTAGTCCCGAAAACGCAGCTCATTTGCCTATGATAACCCGAACACCCGTGCCCAAAGCTCAAACAAGTTGTCCAAAAACCAGGATCTCTCCTGGACTTAGCCCCAAACGGTTCAAACGCCGAAACCCGAGTTGCACCACGCCTGTGTCTAGCCCCACAGCGAAGTCCTCTTGCTGCAAACCCCGGCGCGCATCATGGCCGAAGATCACCTGCGGTTTGGACCAACCCGGTGGGGTCCGCTTGGATATATACACTATACAACGCGAAACAAATTGATTTTGTGGGTCAAAGCTTGAGAATGCAGGGACCCATTCTCATATGCTTCCAAAATGGAGAATGAGAATGTGACCCATGTTTCCACTGATTTCAGCTGGTTCGCTGTTAATTTACCACATTGCATGGCAAGAGTGGTTAAAAACTCATGCTTGTTGACCGGCGGCCCCGACACCTGGTGGTCTCTATCCCAAACGTTGTTAAACAAGCCGGAAATCAAAATCCACTGCAGGTTGGCAAAAAAACAACACATAAGATGTCAGCCACCTTCAACAAATAACCGGGTTTACAAAAACTGGCTTCACCCCGTCCCGAAAAAGGTTGGAACAAGTTGTAAAACAACAATTGGAGGCTTGTTTTGCGTTTCACCCCCTCAAAAGGAACAAATTGACAAACTTCGGAAAACGACACCGACGAACATGTGTTGTTTTGAGGGAACCCTCCGAACAAAAGTTGGCAATCATCATCGAATGGAAGTTGCATAAATCAAACGCGTAAACATGTTGCTGAAAGGGTTTCACCCCTCTCAAGCAAAAATGGACATGACAGATTGCAAAACGACATCCGCTAAAGGCCGTTCATAGGATATCAGCCCTCCAAAAGGAACACCTCCGAAACAATTGGACAGCAAACTTCCCTGGTGTTTTTGGCTTAAGGTTTTCAAACAAAAGTTGTTTGCACAAGTCGGAAGCCGCCATTTCCACCGGACTTGTTTCTAGAAGGGTTTCACCTCCAACAAGAAGTCGACAAGTTGGCAGCCCAAAAAGTGTTTTACCTCTTTTGTTTGTTTTCCGAGGGACATGTCCTTTTTGGTGTTTCTTTTTGTAAGAGAAACCTACAAAACACCACCGTTTTTGGGGGTGGCCTCAAAAAAAGGCGACACCGCCGCTCCGGGATGAAACAGGCCCCACCTGCTGCGGGCCTCGCCAGCGCTTGGCCCAGGGCACGCCCTCGAGCTTCTCAGAGCCGCGGCCTCCATTCCAACGAGAAAACCAAAAAAAACGGACGGCTCGTCCTTCGTTTTTACGCCTCGGCCCCCAAAACGTTTTTGTTGTGGGGCAGCCAACGTGGATGGGCACCTTCCAAATTGACATCTTCCCAAAGCACCAAATCAGCTTTGGCCAAGCCCTTGGGCCTCGTGAGTCTAGGCTGCGCAGGTGAACCAGGTCATGGTGCTTCTGCTGCTCCAGCGGCACACCTTCTCAGCTGGCCAAAACCGTCACACGCAGCCGGGCAACAGCTAAGCTTTTGTCCACCGCGCAACCACTGCACCCCGTCCCAACTGTTTAGATTCGTCTGGAATCGACTCACCAAATGATTGAATGGATTGAAGCTGTTTGCCCTTCAACCAACCTCCAAGAAAGCGGTCCCCAACAAACCACCATCCACATGGACAGCACACATGGATCGCTGAAAAATGGGGGACCTCCAAAACGGGCGGTTCTCCTGTTGGATTCCCTTAGCCCCACAAAAGGGTAGCCTCCGAAACAGACACTTCCGCCTGGCAGCAGCCCTGCGTGCACCTCAGGTCGATGACATTTTGTTTGCGAAGGCGGAAGGGCAAGGAGAACCAACATGATGTCAAACTGATTGAGAATGAGGTGGTGCTGTCTTCAAGTAGGGGGGCCCAACAAAAGGGGGATCCTTTGCGTTTCGTTTTGAAGCGGCCGCCAAAAACACACTACCCTCAAACAATGATCGAGCAGGGTCATGGTGCTGAATGGGTTTAAGGTTGCTGCACGGATCTGCTGGGCTGGTAGGTTGAGTGAGGTTGGCTTTGGTTCGGTGTGTGCTGGTCCGGTTTGGGCGCGATCGTTTCAAGTTCTTGGTTTCTCTAGGTCCTGCCTGGTCTGGTTTCGTATGTTGGCTGTTGGTTGTTGCCGTTTTGTTGTTGGATTGGCTGTGATTGGGTTGAGTAATTATGCTTGGGTGGGTAGGCTATGGTTGGGTTAGTCCTGGCTGAGTTGTGGGCGGTCGGTCAGTCGAGGTTCCTTTGCTACCTAGCGCTTGGTTGGTCAGTTCGTTGGTTTTGTTTGCGCCAAGCTTGACAGCGTGCTGATGCGGTTGTTTGTTTGATCTATGCACGTGTTGTCTACCCTTACTTACTATAACATGTCCGGGTGTTGATTGTCTTCACTGTCCCAGTTGACGGACCCCCATCCGAATCTGCCCATTGGCTTTCCCAAATATGATCAAATATGTGAACAGCGCCCGGTGAAGCAGTAATCGGCATGCACAGTTAGGTGCGGGCCAAGTTTAGTTGGAGCAAGGGGCAAGGGTTCCCTTGCTACTTCCTTTCGAACTCATCTTTTTGTGGAGGTCCTGGTTTCACTGCCCCATGCTCACTTACGCGTCAGATCGTTTGGCTAAACAAACAGCCATCGTCCGACGGCCTTGGCCTTAGCAACTTCCCATCTCGACTGGCGCAAATCGGTTGGTGTGGGATTCAAACGCTTCTTGAAGTGGACACCTCCATTGGCCTCAAAGGGTCTGCGCTGTTCTCCAACTCAAGCACTCAGTCTTGATGCAGTCTTAAGCCTGCCAGCGAGTGTGGCATTGGGTGGATGCCATTCGAGAAAAAAACAACAACAAAAAACACAAAAACACTCAAATGTGTGTCTCCAAATTAAATGGATCGGATCCCCTACCCAAAGGCTGCTCGATTGAAAAAAATCAATAGATCGATTGAAAAAAAGACAAATTCGATATTCGATTGAATTTCAGAAAAAATCAATAGAGGTCAGAAAAAAGTTCAGAGCAGATATAGAGATTCTATTGATTTCCCTATTGAATTTTCGATTGAAAAAACAAAATCCTCGATTGGAAAAATGAAATCCGCGATTGAAAAAATGAAATCCTCGATTCAAAAAAATAAAATCCTCGATTGAATTTCTTAAAACGGACCAGAATTCATCCTCGATTGAATTTTGAAAGCAGGCCAAAATCTTCGATTGAATTTATTGTAAACGCTGCGCGTTTCAAGGCGCCGCCGGACAGGATCTTGGGCCAGCACGGGGAAGAGGTTGGGGAAGGGGACAAGCGAAGATTCTCTTTGGAAAAAAATGATCTGAACATTCTTGGCCCCTGTAAGGGCCAAGGCGAATTCTGAAACCTTGACTCAATCTGTGATGGGGCTAGATGCTTCCATTGGTTGTGGGATCAGGTTTCTTGAACATCTTTGGAGCCCTTTACAAGTCATGCTGGGTGGGAAGACAGAAAGATAAAGAGGAGAGGAGGGTCAGAGAGTGTTCATAGATTTTGTCAGCTGCATAGAAGTGTCTGGAAAGACAGGGCTGTGTGTGGATGGTCAACATGCCTGCCCTTCTATGACTGGACAGTCATGGGCATTCAGCATGCACGCTGGGACTATTCAACCTCATGGCAGTTTTGGGTCCAGGACCACCACAGTTGCAACAAGAGTAGAAAGCCATGGGCAAGGGGGGGGCCAGGAGACAAAAGGTCCCAGAGACCGACTTGGAACACTTGTTGGATGTGGTCAAAGACTTTGTGAAACAGGAGTCTAACTTCGACCTCAAGGGTTACCAGATCGTAGGAAGAACCCAGGCAGTTCAAGGGCATGACCTGGCCAGCCTTGCCCCTTTGCTGTTGAAGCTGATTTCTGTGCAGCCCCAGCTGCTGTTCAGCTACATGGACTTGAAAGCAGTTTTCAACAAAGTGGTGCAAGCCTACCCCTTCTTGAGGGACTCCTACCCTGCGCAGCAGCTGGGCAACCTCCCCAGCAAGCTGGCTCAGCAGACCATGACACTCTGCGCTCATGCTCGAAGGATCAAGGACTCAGCTAAGTTCAGGGAGTGCACCAGGTCACTGCCAGACTGGCAGATCCTGAAGCTTGAGGAGGTGAGAAAAGGTCTGGAGCTCTGCCAAAGTGACCCGAAGAACTTGGAGGCCCTGAAAGCAGCCAGAACAAGAGCACGGGCAAGGAAGGGAAGTCAGAGGCAGTGAAGAAGCTGCCTTCCCAGCAGCTATCTACTCCCAAGAAGAACCTTGGCAAGAAGCACTCCAAGCTGGACCTGGAGGATGCTTTGGAGATGGAGCTGCCAGCAACCCAGGACAGCATGGAGTCAGACCACACTGGGGGCACCAGCAAGCTGCTGAAGAAGGCCCTGGAAACCTCCCCTGTGCCAGCTCGAAAGAAGACCATCAAGGAGCACCTGAAGAAGAAGGCAGCTGACAAGAAGGAGCAGACTGAGAAGAAGAAGGCAAAGAACAAGAAGAACCTGAAGAAGCAGAGTGGGACGAAGAAGGCCCAGAAGAAGAGCATCGACCAGAGCGACAAGAAGAAGGCGCAGAAGAAGAGCGTTGGCCAGAGTGGCAAGAAGAAGGCCCAGGAGAAGGAGGACCTGGAGTTCGACACCAACAAGCTGTTTCTCATGCCCTACAAGAAGACTGGAGCCTGCCTGGGCAATCAGGATCAGAAATGGCAAGCAGCTCTTCCAGGTTTCCTGCTTTGACCAGAAGAAGAACCAGATGGAAGCCCAGAAGCTCATGGACATGCTCAAGGGTGGCCAGCCCCTGGGACCGCCTGCGTCTGTAGGGTCTTGGCTGGCTTGTGTAGAAGCCTGGAGATCGCAAGCAAAGGTGAAACAGAGATCCAGCTGCTCTGGCCTGTTGGCTGCATGCTATAACGTCTGGAAAGACAACTGCAGCTTCCATGCCTGGACAGGCACCCTTGCCATTGCTTTGAATGCCTGGACAGACATGAAGCATGCTTGAAGTCATGTCTGGACAGACAGTAAGGATAGGGGGTGCATTTTTGAAACTGTGCATTTTAAATGTCTGGACAGACATTTCTGCTTTAGATGCCTGGGGAAGGAATATTCTATGCCTGGACAGGCATTTGGAGGCTTTGTGTGTTTTGTGTTATGTCTGGACAGACATTTTTCAATGCCTGGACAGGCAAGGTTACCAGTGAGTCCTGCTTAATGTCTGGACAGACATGGGTTGTGGAAGAGATGGCAAGTGTGCAGAAGCGTCCGCAGCTTTCTGGTGCAAGAAGGGGGAAATAGAAAGAAGTAGACAAGTAGAAGAAAAGTGCCAGAGCCATGGCAGATAGGGAGCAGAAGCAGAAGGGTGGCAAGACCAAGAAGGGGAAAGGCCCGCCCCCAGCCCCAGGGCCACCACCAGCCACCAGCGCTGTGGCCTGCACCCCCAAGCAGCCAGGCAAGGGCCAAGAGTTGGGGACTGGTGCCCCAGACAGGAGGGGCAGAGATGTCCCGTCCAGTGTGGGTGGCAAGGGCTTCCAGCACTTGGAGCCCAACCTCAACTGTGGTGCCATGTCCAGGCTGTGGAGGGAGAACATGAGGTCTATCTGGAGGAGTGTCTGCCCAGATGTTCCCTTTGATGGCTTCATCAACTCCTTGTGCCAGATGGGGGAGTTCCACAGCAAGGTGGAGAGGGGAAGTGCAGAAGCCCCCAGGCCCTACCTGAGAAGGATCTTCATGAACAATGACAGCCCCTTTGAGACCTATGAGGCCATGATCAACTTCTTGCTGGAGAAGCTCATGGATGAGGATGGGGGGCAGCCAAGGGCAAGGCAAAGGGAGATGGAAAAGATGATGGGAATGATGGAGGAAATGATGGTGGGGGGAAGGGTGGAGGTGGCAGTGGAGGTGGTGATGGGTGGAATGATGGAGGAGGTGGCGCCGGAGATGGGGGTTCTTACAGCCATGGAGGAGGAAGTGGCAGTGGGGGTGGCTGGGGTTCCTGGGCAGGCTGGAATGGCCAGCCATGGGATTGGCAGCAGCCCCAAGATTGGGGAGCCTGGCAGGAGGCTGGGAGGGAGAGGGGTGAGGGATCATGAAAAGGAATTTATCTTGCTTGACTGTGCCAGGATGGCAGCCAGTACTCTACTGGTGGAGCTGCAGATGATCAGCAGGAGGACTGGCGACCAGACTGCCTGGGGAGGCTGTTGATGTTGTGGGGTAGGCAGGCTCAACCTTTATGTCTGGACGGACATGACCAATTAGTGGGATAAAAGGATTGAAAATGAATTCACTTTTGAAACATCAAGCCCTCAGGACTATGATGATTACATGGGCAACCTGAAGGCAGAGTTTTTCGATGAGTACAAAACGAATTTTAAGCAGTGCAAGGAGTGTGGCCACCACAGCTTTGTCCCCCACACCAGCCCCCTGAGGGAGAATGATTGCCAGGGCTGCATGATGAAGAACTGTTCAGGCTTCAGGGGCAACAAGAAAGTGAAGGGCCTCTACAAGGTGCTTGACCAGGAGCACGACTTTCTGCCAGGAGAAGAATGGCATTTGGAGTAGGCACCAGGCTTGAGCTCGACGGCTGGAGGAGTGAAAAGAAAGAGAGTGTGAGTGACAGTGCAATGTCTGGAAAGACAGGTTTCATGGCCATGGGCTATAGCTGTGAGAAGTGGTTGGGGCAAGTGTCTGGACAGACAGGCTTCATGGCCATGGGCCATATTCATGAGAAGTGTTTCGGGACAAATGTCTGGACGGACAGCCATGAACCTGATTTGTGAGAAGTGTTTTGGGAC